CAGATTATTATATTTAACAAAGCTTTGTTCTGTGATTCAATCTCTGATGAATATTGAAGAGGAAAAACTCTCTAGGATTTACCAAGAGATTAGCAATGACTACAGAAAATAAAACACATGTGTAATAGTGCAGAAGAAGTATGATTCCCCCAACTTCCTTCATACTGGGAGCCCTATGTTGGGAACCACTACTTTAATAGATTATAAACTGCAAGTGGTAAGCTTTTTTCAACTACTGGGTTACACATTATATATTTATCTAGTAGGGGTATTTCCCTACATGACTGAAGCCGACGGGAAATCAAACATTACCAACATTCAAATTTCCCATTGGGATTAATGTTTTATCTCGGGAGAAACCCAAAATTCAAAGTAGGTGAAAGTTACATTCACAGACTGCGCATGCGCACACAAACAGACATGGCGCTGCGTGAAGGAGCTCTCCGTTTAAACCTGCTACTCAACAGCCGTACTTTCTACAAATTCAACTCCTCTGTTGGTGTCCGGTCGTTGTCGGACAATGTGTTATCTAAACCTGTAACATCCAGTGCTCCAGAGATCGTGGGTGACCATATAATCTACACACAAGAGCACTTTGCATTAAAGGAGTCCCTCAGAAAGGTAACACATGACTGCTAACAACATAGCATCCTTCGGCGTTACCATGAAAACAAGGCTAGGTTTATCTTTGGTAACAAGGTGACAGGTGGATATATTGTAGTAACCAAGTGTGTTGTTAGAAAGCACGAGTGTTATTATGCTTAAAGTAGCTGTATGACGCAGAAAAGGGCATTATAATGGAAGTGGGTGAGAGGTCACTTTGTTAGCTTGTTATATAGGTACCCTTCATTGAACTGTGGTGGTGTCTGCAGAAGCTGATTGTGTTATGGCTTCACTAATAACAAGTTAAACATACGTTTGTACGTTGCTAACAATGTTGGAAAGCTGTCTTCATCCTCAAATGACTGCACAAACATACATGTTTTTTGTTGTTGCACAGACTCAGTGTTTTTATGACCCATACTACACTCCCACATATCCTACCTGGGTAATGTCATCTCTGCTCTGGCACTGAGATTATTTTAAACTTTGGTTACTTTAGTCAGTTCAAGTCATTGTGTGATAGGGCTGGATGCACAAACTATGTTCAATGAAGATTAAGTAGTTGTGGTCAAGCCTTACCACGTAGGAGTTTCCCGGAACAATTTAAAAATGAATACTGCAACAAGTTTTTCTAGATATGTTTTGTTGCTTTAAAATGTGTCTCAGAGACTGATGTTGGCTGAACAATATTAGATTAGGTTGATTTGGAGGTCAAAATTAGATGTGTTCTTCCTATAAAACGATATTTATATTAGTATGACAGTAAAGTGCTGATAACGTGTGGGAAATGTTCTGATACCAGAGGATTTGGGGACTATTTGTAGACCTAAATAGTAAATACATTTTGACGTGGTTTGACAACTGAGTAGGCCATGACATTCAGATTGAATCTCCTATCAAGCCAGTAGGGCTGGTCAATGGGATTTCACCAAAGCTGATCTGATGTTTGGACTTTTTGGACACTGAATAGTATGTTGCATCTCCCTTAAATAGAAAAAGCACATTTGTTATTCTTCTTCCGGCCATTGACTTTGTCTGATTAGAAAATATTCAGTTTAAAAACAGATTGTGTAATTTGGGGAAAATGGAAAGTGAGTCCCACTTAATGTTTTACAGCACACACTGCAATGATATAATAATTTTTATTTCCCCATGCTTGATGAAACCCTGAAATGCTCTGGTCATTAAAAGTGTAAAATGGCTGTTTAATTTAAATGTGTTAAAAACGTATTTGCTACTTTTGTCTCAAAATCCTAGAATAGAAGGCATATGGATTATTTCTTTAGTGTTTACTCTGATGTCTCCAGTAGTATGTAATGCTTTTGTTAGTGACTCAAGCAGCAGTCTATTCTCTATTTGCTTGAGAAAAATGTGGTTTCAAAAACATTTAAAACACTAGCTAGGCGAAGGTCTTACTCATGTTTTCTGTTTCCCAGCTTCTTCCACTTAAACTCAGTGTGCCTCTCCTTTTTCTGCTATATTAGTTACTGATTTGTGACATGCAGAGCTTTTATTTTTCAAAAGCTAAATATCAGAAGCTGCAAATTACAGTTGTAAAATATCAAAGCAAGGATTAGTAATCAGCATGACTCATTTGGGATACATATTACTAGACAGACTTTGGAGACATAGACTGCAGAAATAACAAGTGTCTAATTTAAGGCAGGGAGCGAAGATGTTGCGGTAAATGGGGGGAAGCTTGTTGTGTGACTAAACCTTCAAAAGGATGCTTGGAGGTTGAAAATAAACGAGCACTGGGAATAATGGGAAGCATGAAAATGTGAAAAGGAAATGCAGAACAATATGTTGGCAGTGCAGGAAAGGGAACTTGAGGTTTATTAAAAGAATTCACTGTAGAATAGTGTGTGTTTATAGATGCTATACAAATAGGGTTATAGGAAATCCTTTAGTGACTGTCCAAGGTCAGATGTTCATCATGCCAATGTTTCCACTACCAATCTTCTGTTAATGGGTGGGGAGGGCGTAGGGCCACATACAATGTTGTTAAATTGGCTGTGTGTGTGTTTGTGTGTGTGTGGCATGATGCTCATTTATAGATTAGACTAACAACTTCCTATAGTAAGAAATGAGTCAGGCTTCCAGTCTCCCATATATATAAACCAGCCAAACAATTGATGTGTGTGTGTGTGAGAGAGTGTGTGGGGTCAGCTTCTGACATTAATGAGGACATGGAGTCAATAGAGTTTTCCTGAACACTTCTAGGAAGAGCATCCTCACATGCGGCCTCCCATGGTTTCAGACTTCCCCAACACACACTAAAAGCTATTCTAGACTGAACACTGTTGGCAGGTGGGCTGTATTTCTTTACTTTGTTTATGTGTTGTGCTACTAGCAACAAATTACCTTGATTGGCTTGTGAATAATATAACTTTCTTCTTGCCTGAATACTTTTGACTTTCCTGCAAAAAATACCAATATATGACTTAAATCATGCAGCCTTATTCATTCATATGTTGATTTTAAATAGTTTACTCTTGGTTAAAATATATCAGGATATAGTGATGTTGAGGCCTAGCTGTTCACTGCTTTCTGGTGGTTTAACCTTTCGATAGATTATGGCTTTGGTAGTTTATATTCATCTTGCTTGCGAGTGACTTCATTACCAGTATTTCATCTATGCTATAAACCCACTAACTGGACACACTCTTTAATGAACTGATTTGATACATTATAAGTTTGATTCCTGCTTTATGAGCATAGTTTCTTCTACATTCACACGTATTGTGATCCATCCTACAGACTGACTGACTTGGCGTCTGAATCTGTCTTTTGCTGATCAATTGAATGATTTACTTGAAAAGAAATGTAAGAACATGTACTTCACATTTAATAAATCATTCAGTAGATCTAGAACTCGGCAGCCCTGTTAACCATTTGCAACATTGCCTCATATGTCAAAAAAAAAAAAATATAATACAACCAGAGAAATCTCTGAGAGCTGATTTATATCACTACAGTGTAGAATGTCACATTTTCCGAACCTACAGAAATTGACAAAATGTCTTGATAATATCATATGGTCCTAGCTCTAACACATAGTGTGTTAAGTACTAAAATCTATATATTTGTATAAAAGAAAACCAATTTTAACGCAATGGTTAGGGTTGGTTGAGAGAAGCCCAGTCTTTATGTATTGTGCCAGTCTGGACATTTTGTAAGACCTGATGATCTTGACCCTGTCCTTGACAGTGTGATGATTGTTCTGGTATGCAGCACAAATAGTCCACAATAGAGATGTGGACATACTCCCTCATGACCTTTTGGTTTCCCTTTCCAGCAGCTTCTCATTCCTCCCTTTTCCTCACATGATTCAACCTTTGAAACCGGATGAGTTTATTGCAGGTTAAAGGGGACCAATTTAAAAAAAATGCTGTATCTTGTGTTGGACGTTCATTTAGCTGATTTATACAGATTTTAAAAAGCTAGTTATTTACCCCATATATCTTTTGAAAGTAGTTCCCGTCTTCTGTTTTGAGCAGTGAAAACATGATGTCCATGTTTTCTGTCCGCCTCGTATTCAGATGTCCTCAGCCACTGTGTTTTTTTTGGCTGTCCGACTGGTTGTGTGTTTTGGAAAGACAAAATGAGTGTGCATCACTTTTGCAATCCTGGAAAAAACCTGTTAATTCTTCTTCAGTACTGTTTTTTTTTTTTTTGAATGGCAAAACACAGGTCTTATCCTCATTGCTGGTTGTGCTTTCACTCTCAGGCAGAAATTGAATCTAAACTGCATGAAAGAATGATCAAATAGCTTTTATATTTCACAATCCACTATATTTCAAATGGCTCATTAAACTCTTTTCATTGGCCAACGCTTGGAGCTGATGTTTCCTATTTCCATTAGCTACCTATTTTGATTTAATCACTACTTTTCATTGGCTTTACCCTCCATTTAGAGCATATTGTACTGAGCAGAGAAACACATTGTGGAGCAGATTATAATGGGAAACCAGGGTCCATTAAAATAGTTGATGCATTGAAGTAAATAAAACCAATAAAAAGCTGTTGTTTATATAATTCTGGCACACAAGTGCAAATCCATTTGTTGGAGGACATTTTAATTTTAGTTGGAGAAGCAGACAAGGCAGGTCACAGCTCATATATTTCATTTTCTAATTTATTTGGTTATCATATTAGCAGGAAAAGCACAAAATACCAACATTATTTTGCAGAAACGGTTGTTGACGTCCCGTATCTGTATAAATCTGTTTAAGGTTGAATTGTTATAAGAATTGGCAAGAAAATACAACATGAACTTTAATCCACACTATAGATCCACTGCCTATCCTGTGTGAGTTCCAGTAGAAATAGCACCGTATGAGTGTCTCATTAGATTCATAAGTGCTTCTCCAGCTGTGGGCCACATCCAGGTGCTCGAAATGAGTCACGACACTCAGTCCAATGTCAGGCTGCAAACCTGCAATTCACTCCCTGTGGATCTTTTGAGCATGACTCACCTAACCAGTCACTAGTGATAAACACTGATAAAGCACAAAGCAATTCAATTTGGCGTAGAGACAAAAGAGGCTCTCACTGTTCAAGATTATTATGTAAAATTCTGTGACGAGATTACCAGAATCTATTTGTCCTTCACATATGAAGTCATTATGTTTTTAATTAGTACTGAATCAAATTAGCGAAAAGCTGGTTCATTTAGAGATATATAACTTATCAAATTCAGATACTGTATCAGCCGGTTAATGACATTCACCTCCTATAGAGAGAAAATCATTCATTAACCACAACTGCACACATATTTTCTTTGTTCCCCTCTTAACGTATATAATGAAGTCGCCTTTCATTTCCAGGCGGCTGTCTATGCCAGTGGCTGAATAGATAAAGTGACTGCCAGTGCCAACCCAGAAGGAATGTCATTCGTGTTGTTTCAGTACTGCACTTTATTTTTGCATTATGGTCTAAATATTACTTTAGAGGTTTTTCTCTCCTGCCAAGAATAAAAATGCCGGAGGAAACGGATCATTAAAAAATTGGCTTTTGAATGGCTGAATGCAAAGCTGTCAGCACAATACCAACAACTTCAGTCATCTCCATCAGTGTCAGCTCTTAAAAACCAATCATCCCCAAAACCCTCAGTGTAATTTGCAATGCAAGTTGCTTTGGACAACATTTTTTACTGGATTCTATTGTGCTTTAGTTTTTAGTGCTATTTTTCCGCTCCCAAATGCATAGATTGGGATTAAGGCCAAACCCATGCCATTGTTTTCTCAGCCTGCAGCTGTCATATTGTGTGTCACAAGCCAAGCCTTGGTTATCAGTAGGGGACTGATAACATGCATATGAAGAAAATAGCATGCCTTGCTTGTCATTATAACAGATTTCCCATGTATTACAATTCTCCAGCCTGCTCTCTATTCATTGATATATAAAACCTTTCAACGCTGTCTGCTGAAGATAGATTTAAGTAGATTTAAGTAGAGATGTGCACTGCACAGCAGGAAACTCGTGTGTGTGTTCACTCATAATCTGCTTGGTGGTATTTATGTGACAGGAGATAAAATAGCCGGGCTGTCATTCCTTGTCGTACAAAGAAGGTAAAAAAAAGAAAGAAGTCAAGGATTTGTGGCACAGTAAAAATGCACAAATATGCGTGGTTATGCTTCAAATTCACCATGATAAACAAACAAAGAGCATGCACACACTATCAGAAACATACAGTAACATATCTGTACCTTATTGTGTTTGTGTTCTAGATCATTGACCAGGAGATCAACCCCCACGTGGAGCAGTGGGAAGCAGAAGGCATATTTCCAGCCCATAAAGTCTTTAAGATCTTAGGAAGTGCTGGCTTTCTCGGGGTCAACAAACCAGTTGGTAAGAGTGTATTTTATTAAACATTCATTTTCATACACAGAACGTTTGGGTGACGCAGTTGCTTGTTGATTAGACTCCAAGATAAAGTTCACCATTTCTGTTCTTGGGGATTTTTGCATGACGTTGAGTTAGTATGTTTGGATTCCTGTGTCTTCTTCAGGGCTGTAATTGACTTACTGTGCCTCATGGGATAAGATCCAACTACTCCACTTGAATCATAAATAAGGAATTCAGGATTAGCTAAATGCGAGTGTTTTTTGTAATAAACATTAAGAAAGATTTCTGAACAATTATAACGGTTTCATTAATTTAGTGAGTGTTTCCGGGTGGCATTATCTGTAGCAGACTGGTTAGGGAAAAGGTCGGTTTGATAAAGGGAGGTTTTGGCGCAGTGGTTAGAGCGTTGATCATCAGATCAAGGGGCGTCGGTGAACTCCAATTCGAAACGCGCCTCGGCCGCCACTGCGTCAGGCCGTTGTGTCCTTGGGCTAGACACTCTACCCGCATCTGCTCCTGTGGGTAATGTCCACAGTATTAACATTTACATGTGTAAAATGTAATTGTAAAGCGCTTTGTGCACCTGTAAAAGCGCTCTAATGTAATCCATTATTATAAAGAGACCCAGAAGCCTTTTTATGTCAGTGAAGAAGATAATAATCCTGCGGGGAAACGATTAGCTTTTTTATGCTAACCCTTTTATTGAGAAGTCAAGATAATAAAACTGTTAAAAAACAGAGATGTTTGGCATGTGTTTGCAACATGTATCCATGGCTCTGGAAGTGTTTAAGGGGCATTTTCTTCTACCTTGAGTCTATTTGTACTCTAGGGCATTTTAGTTTGTAATCCATTTTAGTTTGTAATCCATTCAAATATGACAACAGATTAATATCCTGTGCCTCAGTCCACATGATATATGTTGTTGGGCCATACTGTTTCTGTTGCCACTGCAAAAACTCCCATGATAAATCAGTAACATATCTTAAGACCTTGCCTTTAAGGATTTCATTTTTTAATCCAAAAACACATGAATACAAGTCACTCAGAAACATAATTTCAGTTGTGGTTAGAATAGTTCTGTGGGGATAGGTGAATCAAAGAGTGACCATCTCCGCTTCAAGGAGCATGTGGCATTACTTTCTCACAGCTGTAGTCGCTTCCCATTCATTTTCCCTTTGTTTCTCAGCCATACATTACAGTCGCTCGACTTTAGAAATGTTCCCACTGTGTTGATGGGTGCGGATGTCACAGCAACATCCCACAACAGCTGTCTGCTATATTATATATCCCGTTTCCAGATGTGTACCCAGCTGTGTCCCTGCTGGGTAAGAGATGGAGCGGAATAAGCTCTGAAAAGTTAAGGACCACAAAATAGTTGTGTGTGAAATCATTCTGAATACATAAAGGGATTTGTATGGCAAATGTTTGACAATCAACTGCAGAGATTTATAGTTTAAAGTAATTTCATATTCCCTTATTATTTCCCGCTGTAATAGATTTATTTATCTCGCTAACTTTTCCACTTCTAATCTTTGTCTTGTGTTTTGTTGTGCTACAGTATTATAGCTGTTCTTCCATTGGATGCTGAGAAAAACAAAATGTGTGAACAATAATGTTGAGCACTGAGCTCGGTGAAGAGGATTGCGCCACAGGCCTGTAGGTCAAAGAAAAGGAATTAAAATGTGCTGAGTAGACGAGAGATAAGCATTAGTTGGCAGGATTAGAGATGAGATGCAGCTCAGAGAAAGACACTCTGCATTATCAGGTGGATTACCTGAGGTAAATGTGTAAAAACAAATGTCTGGGTTGCAATATTTCAGTATGCATTTACCTCTCACACTTGCACTACAGTGAATAGCCACTGATTCTCCTCTTTACAACGAAAAATGGAAAAGCCTTCCAAATAATGACAATAAAGGCTAAATATTACAGTATTCATAAAGACTGAGCTCAGTTACCACACTATTGAATCAAATCAAATCAAGTTTTATTTATATAGCACATTTATAAACGATTTTTGGTAGAGCCAAAGTGCTGTACATATAATAAAAATAGCCTACAGTAGAGACACTTTACAGCAAATACAACAGCACAGATTGTTCAGAATATCAGAATGAGAAAAACGACACCCTCTATCCTTAGACCCTCACATCGTACAAGGAAAAACTTCCAGAGAAAACCCACAGTTTAAGGGGAAAAAATGGGAGAAACCTCAGGGAGAGCAACAGAGGAGGGATCCCTCTCCCAGGACGGACAGACGTGCAATAGATGCCGTGTGTAAATCGAAGAGATAATACATTTTACAGCATATAGACCGAATGTTAGGAAATGCATGTGTCTGTAATAAGAAGATGAATCCACGAGGATGTCAGCTACAATCCTGTGGAATCTGGCATCTATTGATCATCCTGCCACATTTGGCTTGATATCTGAAATAATTTTAGGAGTTAAGTTGCCATGGTATTATATGTCTTTGGGAAAGTGTGTAGTGTACAACTAGACGTCCCCTCCCCTGACTAATGGAGCAGACTCTTAAATAATTCTGCTTTGAGTTAATTCATTTAGAGGCTCGATTTACAGGAATGGGGATTTAGGAGTCTGGCCAATGGAGAAATGATTAATCAGGTGGAATGTGAGAATAACTCAACACCAAATACAATCAAAACAATCTCCTACAAACAAAGTTTATTTTTTAAATAAAGCATGCAACATGTGGTGAACTTTCATTATGTACTTACAATATATAAAAAGGTTTTTGGAGAAGACATATGGCACCCTTAATCGGACCAAAACCTTCTTCTTACTTGTCCTTTATTTTTATTCTCAAAACAGTGCAAATGTTCACACCTTTGCTATCGCTGTGACAAATCTGTTCACAGACAGATATATAAGCAACTTTTGTGGTGGTCTCTGCTACAGAAGGTGTTTCCAAGACCACATTTTGTAGGGCAAAAACAATGATAAAGGCATGACCTTTTGGACAGACTGGTTGGCAGAAGAATACAACCCGGTTATCCCAGTACATTCTCAGTGATCCTCTGTGGGCATGGATGACTTAAAATACTGGGAAAACAGCACTATCAGTGGACTTAATGGATCAGGCCAAGCACCAAAGTTAACACTCCTGTTTACAGTTATCCAGCACGTCCCTTTATTTAATCCCCTGACATGAACACTCAACACATAGTTTTCACTTTTTCCATGTACAAGGAAAGGCACTACTAACATAAAAACCAGAGAACAGGAAGTTTTCCTAAGGCAGCCACGTTGAGGGAGAAGACAGAGATGACCCCTGGCTCCCTGCCTGTTTTCCTCTGCTCTGAGATAAGTATCCGCTGCTCACACCATGGCAATGGCCTCTTGTCTCCTGCCTGACAGATAGACCCTGGCAGCCTGCATATGTTTTCCTTTAACATATTTTTGCTACTAATATTTTGAAAAATAACCTGTTGGAGAGTTGTGTGTCAAGGCTGTTGCCCTTTCTCACGATAACTACTTCTATGCATGATAGTTACTTTTCAGATGTTATAGTATATCACACTGTGTTAGTGATGCATGCATTCATGGGTTGACTAATAGTGCAATTACACCTGTGTCTATTGTAGTAAATATACCGAATGATCATGGATCTAAGCTAACGGCAGTGATTCATCGGCAATCTCTCCCATGTTGTCATCCCCGATTTACCATCACTTGTGTCCCTGAGCAAATAGGATGGAAAACAGTGTTTACTCGACATATGCAGTGTCTGCATCTTGAAATGTTCTCATCTCGATCCTTCAATATGAGCTTCATATGGAGCTCCACCCGATGAGAACCTAGCTGAGGAACATCTGGTGTTCAGTAGAAACACATGTGTAAAGGATTGACATTTGTGACAGAATCATGTTTGTTTTTCTCCTGCTTGCTTGTTCAATCAGACAGCCTGCTGTTTTGCTTAAAGTGGGATACACTTTGGTGCTTCCCTTAGTCCACATTATCCACCGCAGGGTTTCCAGCGCTCAGAGACTTATCGCTGCACAGCTGCACCTACTTCCTCTTATTTTAGACTCCCCTACTCCCTTGTTTTTGCTGGTCCCACTAATAAATGTCCCTCTCTCCCTGTCCCCATTTATTGTGCTCTCTTTCTTCCCCTCCCTGTGTCTCTCTGACAGTCTGCCAGACGGCTTTCCGTTATTCGATAACTAGCCTGACAGGTGATATTAAACCACTATGCTGGAGTGCAGGCCTCCATGTGGTAAACTCGCTGATAGTTATTCATTGTCAGTCAGTTTTAGTATCCATCATCCAGTACCTGGCATACTGTATTTAGTCAAGGAAAAACCAGGACATTGACGACCCCTTCACAAATGTCTTGTTACTTTCGGCTGACTTGGCGTTATCATCAAGAGATTTGTCCTAGATGAATAACTGTCAGATTACATTTGCTAGCATTGGATGATAATGTCAACACAAATTCATTACAAACAGACTTCAATTTCGTATTGTTTTTGTTTTGAAAGGGTCTGAATGTGTGTGTGTTCGACACTAATGATTTAAAGAGAAACGCAGAATAAAAGCGAGCACATTAGCTAGCTAAGTTCCACTGGTAGCAGACAGAAAATTGGCTTTTAGCACTAAGTATATTAGTATTAAAAAAACACCCTCTTCATTTCACAATAGATGCTCCGACTGATGATGAAAGGCAGAGGAAAGGAAAATAGATGGCTCAATGAGGATAACTGACAGAAAGTGGTGTTTTCAATCAATCAATCAATCAATCAATGTTTATTTATATAGCCCAATATAGCCCAAGCTCACAAATGTTACATTTGTCTCAGTGGACTTTACAGTTTGTACAAAATATCAGTATGACAATACGACACCCTCTGTCCTTAGACCCTCACATCGTACAAGGAAAAACTTCCAAAGAAAACCCACAGTTTAAAGGGAAAAATGGGAGAAACCTCAGGGAGAGCAACAGAGGAGGGATCCCTCTCCCAGGACGGACAGACGTGCAATAGATGCCGTGTGTAAATTGAAAAGATAATACATTTGCAACATAGGTAGTCCAAATGTTTGGAAATGCATGTGTGTATAATAGGAAGATGAATCCACGAGGATATCCATCCAGGACCTATGATCCAGGACCACAGCCACGACTCAAGATCCAGGACAGAGGAGCGCAGGATCATCCATGACTCCGGATCCCGGCGTATACAGACACCAAAAAGAAAGACATTTGGGGAAGCTGGGTTAATCGGAACATGAGAGTACACAAGTATAGACAGAGAGAAGGAAGAAGTAAGATGTCCCCCGACAAACTAAGCCTATATCAGCAAAACTAGGGGCTGAATCTAATCAGCCCTAACTATAAGCTTTATCAAAAAGGAAGGTCTTAAGCGCACTCTTAAAAACGGATAGGGTGTCTGCTGCCCGAACACAAACTGGAAGCTGATTCCACAAATGTGGAGCTTGATAAGAAAAGGCTCTGGCTCCCATTGTACTTTTAGAGACTCTCGGAACAACCAACAACCCTGCATTCTTGGAACGCAATGCCCTAATAGGACAGTAGGGTATAATGAGTTCTTTAAGGTAAGATGGCGCCTGCCCATTAAGGGCTTTGTAGGCGAGAAGAATAATTTTAAATTATATCCTGTGTTCTATAGGGAGCCAGTGTAAGGCAGCCAGAACAGGAGTAATGTGGTCCCTTTTCCTAACTCTGGTTAGTACACGAGCTGCAGCATTTTGAATCAGCTGAAGCGACTTGACTGACTTCTTGGTACACCCTGATAATAAGGAGTTACAATAATCCAGCCTTGAAGTAACAAATGCATGGACTAGTTTCTCTGCATCGTTTTGAGGCAAGATATGCCTGATTTTTGCAATGTTACGATTTTTGCAATGAGTACAAATGTAAAGAAAGTTAAGCTATATATCAGTTTATCAGACTTATAATTTGGCAAAAGTTTCTCAGAGACAATACTTGTTATGTCATCGATATCATAATCAAAAATACACTTTTTCTCGAAAAGAGTAAAAGAGAGGATTAATACCTCTTGAAAGCACTTGAAATGTTTGGCTCTATGAAACCTGATGTACTTATATGATTCTGTTTTCTTCAAGGTTATATCTTCCTGGTCGAATGTACTTATTGTAAGTCGCTTTGGCTAAAAGCGTCAGCTAAATGCAATGTAATGTAATGTAATTGTATATAGTTGATCCAGTGTAAGGCAGCCAGAACAGGAGTAATGTGGTCCCTTTTCCTAACTCTGGTTAGTACACGAGCTGCAGCATTTTGAATCAGCTGAAGCGACTTGACTGACTTCTTGGTACACCCTGATAATAAGGAGTTACAATAATCCAGCCTTGAAGTAACAAATGCATGGACTAGTTTCTCTGCATCGTTTTGAGGCAAGATATGCCTGATTTTTGCAATGTTACGATTTTTGCAATGAGTACAAATGTAAAGAAAGTTAAGCTATATATCAGTTTATCAGACTTATAATTTGGCAAAAGTTTCTCAGAGACAATACTTGTTATGTCATCGATATCATAATCAAAAATACACTTTTTCTCGAAAAGAGTAAAAGAGAGGATTAATACCTCTTGAAAGCACTTGAAATGTTTGGCTCTATGAAACCTGATGTACTTATATGATTCTGTTTTCTTCAAGGTTATATCTTCCTGGTCGAATGTACTTATTGTAAGTCGCTTTGGCTAAAAGCGTCAGCTAAATGCAATGTAATGTAATGTAATTGTATATAGTTGATCCAGTGTAAGGCAGCCAGAATAGGAGTAATGTGGTCCCTTTTCCTAACTCTGGTTAGTACACGAGCTGCAGCATTTTGAATCAGCTGAAGCGACTTGACTGACTTCTTGGTACACCCTGATAATAAAGAGTTACAATAATCCAGCCTTGAAGTAACAAATGCATGGACTAGTTTCTCTGCATCGTTTTGAGGCAAGATATGCCTGATTTTTGCAATGTTACGTAGATGGAAGTAGGCGGTCCTTGAAATTGATTTTATGTGGGCATTAAAGGATAAATCCTGATCAAATATAACACCAAGATTCCTTACAGTCTCACTGGAGGCCAAATTAATGCCATCCATAGTTAATATATCCTTAGATAATTTGTTTCGTAGATTCTTCGGGCCAAGTACAATAACTTCAGTTTTGGTCGTGTTTAACATCAAAAAGTTTAAGGTCATCCACGTTTTTAAGTCCTTAAGGCAGTCTTGAATTTTATTTAGATGATTAATTTCATCAGGCTTGATTGATAAATATAGTTGAGTATCATCCGCATAACAATGAAAATGTACAGAATGATTCCTTATAATATTGCCTAACGGAAGCATATATAATGTGAACAAAATAGGTCCGAGCACTGAGCCCTGTGGCACTCCATGGCTAACTTTGGTTTGCGTGGAAGATTCATCATTGACACGTACAAACTGAGAGCGTTCAGATAGATAGGACCTAAACCAGCCTAAATCAGTTCCCTGTATGCCAACTAAGTGCTCTAGTCTTTGCAATAGGATATCATGGTCGATAGTATCAAATGCAGCACTGAGATCGAGCAAAACAAGAATAGAGACACGTCCCTTGTCAGAGGCTATTAGAATGTCATTTGTGACTTTAACCAGAGCTGTGTCTGTGCTATGATGTGTTCTAAAGCCAGACTGAAAATCTTCAAATAAATCATTGTTTTTTTAAGTAATCACACAACTGTCTTGCGACCGCTTTCTCAAGAATTTTTGAGAGGAACGGAAGATTAGAAATAGGTCTATAGTTGGCTAAAACCTCTGGATCGAGGTTGTGCTTTTTAAGAAGCGGTTTTATCACTGCTACTTTGAATGATTGTGGAACATAGCCTGATAATAAAGACATATTCATAATATTTAATAAAGAAGTGCTAATTAATGGAAAAACTTCCTTCAACAGCTTAGTTGGAATTGGGTCTAACATACACGTTGATGGTTTAGAAGAGAGAATCATTGAATTTAATTGTTCAAGGTTTATGGCTGAAAAGCATTCTAGTTTACTATCTAGTGTAATATTAGAACTCACGCTTCCGGGAGCCGTTGATAACACTATACTGGTCAAAGGCAAGAGGTCATTAATTTTGTTTCTAAGAGTAACAATTTTATCATTAAAAAAGCACATAAAATCATTACTACTGAGTGCTATGGGAATAGAAGGCTCAATTGAGCTGTGGCTTTCTGTCAGCCTGGCTACAGTGCTGAAAAGAAATCTTGCATTATTCTTATTCTCATCTATTAATGAAGAGTACTAGGCTGCTCTCGCTTTACGCAGTGCTTTCTTATATTCATTGAGAGTAATATGCCAAATTAAACGAGATTCTTCAAGTTTAGTGGAACGCCATATCCTTTCAAGTTGTCTCGACTTTTGCTTTATTTTGCGGGTTTCGGCATTATGCCATGGAGCTAATCTATGTTGTTTTATTTTCTTCTTTTTCAAAGGAGCAACAGAGTCTAATTTTATTCGCAGCGCATCTGTAGCACTATCAACAACATGATCAATTTGGGGTGGTGTACATTTTGTATAAGTTTCCTCCCTTACATGCAGACATGCTATCGAGTTAAGTATTGGTGGAATCTCTTCCTTAAATTTGGCTATAGCACTAACAGATAGGTTTCTGCTGCAGGAGCTTTTGACTAATGCTTTGTAGTCTCGTAACAGTACTTCAAAAGTTACTAAGAAATGGTCGGATAAAGCAGGATTATGCGGTTCGACTAATAGTTGCTCAATTTCAATACCATAAGTCAGAACAAGGTCGAGAGTGTGATTATAGCAGTGGGTTGGTTTATTTACACTCTGACAAAAACCAACAGAATCTAATGTAGAGTTAAATGCAACAGTAAGGCTATTTTTTATCATCGTCAACATGAATATTAAAGTCACCTACGATAATTACTTTATCTGTTTTAAGTACCAAAGTTGATAAAAACTCAGAGAATTCAGATAAGAATTCTGAATAAGGACCTGGTTTTAAACATATAGTGCACTGTTTAACTCCATTAAGGCCCTAAGGTCTTTGCAAATGCCTCTACTGCCAGAATAAAAGAAATAGACATCAATTTAGATATTCTTTTCAGTAAATGGGTTGTTTAAGAGAACAAAAGTGTGATATACTAAGCCAAAGAGATGAGATGACTGTCACAGTGCTGCTGATCTCTCGGCAGTGCTTTGTACACGTAATTACAGAAAGCGCAATTAATGATAACATCCTGTAATTCATTTGAGTGCATGCTTCGTTGCCAACGGTTCAGAATACGGGTTTGACATAAACATGTTAGGCAGCGAGGTTATTACAGAGATAACGGGTAAGATGGTTTTTTCAAGGCTAGTTTAAGAGGACAATTAAGTGATGGGTTATTTATGTCCAAACAAACATTTCTAAGCCGTTCTTCACATTCACTAAAGGTCCACTTCTCTTTTCTAATGAACATAAGTATGGAACACAATTTTCCACACAAGAGCATCGATCTGTCCTTGAAGGAGTGTGTGTTTTGCCCCTTGCAGAGTATGGAGGCTTGGGTCTGGACTACAGCTACAGTGTGGCAGTTGCAGAAGAGCTGGGCCACATCCGCTGCGGAGGCATCCCCATGGCGATCGGGGTGCAGACTGACATGACAACTCCTGCACTGGCCAGGTACCTTCCTATAAACAAGGAAATGTGTTTTTTTTTAACGAATCTGCTGATATGGGTCTTACTGTAGGTGAGCAAAATTCCCATTAGTTTGGGTTAGAGACACGTCACTGTATATTTAGCTTTACTTATCTCCCTCCACCTCTGCATTTTTCTTATCAGAAGGACAACTAATGAGTGACTCAGGCTACAGTACATTCTTTAAAAAGTCTCCCTACACATGGACATCTTTTATAATGAGGCTATAAAAAGCTAGCATAAATTGCTATCCCTCACTGATTAGCACATAGAATGTATGACATGGATTACCCTGCAGTTATTACCTTGTGTTTGAAGCTGGAGTTTTTCAAATCAAACCAATGTCTTAGCAATAAAGGAAGCATCGCTACTTCAGACATTTTAATTATTTGTTCCAGCTTTGCAGACATATCTATCTCATTCATACCCCTCAGCTTTTCTTAGCTTGTGTTTATTTGGTGCATTTATATTGGTCTATCATTGACAACAATTAATTTAAAGACTGCACTCTTTAAAAAGCAGTGAATTGCACTTAAGGCACTTAAAGTCATGAAGCAAGAATGTATGTTATAGACAGTGCTACAAATGCTATAACCAAATCCACATCCATATTATTTTTACTGGTTATATGGACATTTCTACAAGGATTTCTCAATTGTAAATATAATTATGACCAAATGTATTTTGTCCAGGCCCTATTTAACTGGGCATCATGTGTTAGTGGTTATATCAAAGTTAAACTCCCTTGAGGGTATTGTTATTTGTATATTTGGTAATTGTTTGTCTCACGCATGTAGGGCCTTGGCTTGTGATATTGTTCTGCTTCTAAACAGCTGCTGGTGACAAAAGACAGACTTCAGTTGAACAGACTGTATGAGCCTCCGGAGTTTAATTAGGGGATCCACACTAGCTTGCAACGAGGTTGAAGTGCTAAGAGAGCTGTAGAAAAAAAGAATACCATTGGAGCTTCAGGATAAGACTCCCTCCTCTGTCCCACTGGAAATGTAATTGCCTCAAACATGGCAGTGCTGTTTGCACACAATCTACTGCTCTACAGTACAACAAAAGTTTCACACAACTTTCATTAGACAGTAGCCTGACAATGAAGTCTGTAGAAAGTACTGTAATGTCAGAAAACTTAGGGAGTGTTGTATTGTTAGTTGATTAAATAGTTATTTATTAATGTGTGTTTGCAGGTTTGGCTCAGCTGAGCTAAAGCAAGAGTTTCTCCTTCCCTCCATCATGGGGGACAAAGTGGCGTGCCTCGGAGTCAGTGAAGTCGGAGCCGGCTCTGATGTCTCAAGTACGTTTCTCCTTCATCTATCGCATACTTTCCTTTTTAGCTTCTGAAGGACCATTTTAAATGAGCTCAGGCTGCGGAAATGATGGAGGAGCCAGAAATTAGCAGTCTTACAATCAATCTGGCACTAATGTTCTCTCAGGGGACAAGGGTCCCATGCTGTACATTCTGTATATAGGCCAAACTTCATAACTTTGTGCATTTTTTTATTAGTATGTATTATGATTCACACTTAGACTTAACACCAGCTTTAAACTTTAGACTGGTGTGTCTTTTCTGCTCCTAAATGTGGTTTTATTTCTTAGATTATTCATCCGTTGAAACTTTTCATTTAACCTTATGTCCTTCCACTCATCTTCCCAATTTCCCTCTCTCCTTCCATTTACACGCTCCACCACACATCGATTCAGGTATCATGACCAAGGCAGTGAGAAAAGGCGATGAATATGTGATCAACGGGGGAAAGATGTGGACCACCAACGGTACCCAGGCTGACTGGATATGTCTGCTTGTCAACACCAGTGACGGCCCCCCACACAGGAACAAGTCCCTCATCTGTGTGCCCATGAACCTGCCAGGTAGGGGTCTGTTTGCTATGTGTGTGTTTTCCATTCAAAGCAGAAGGCCTTTCACATTCATCTTTTGTGATTCAAGTAGATTTAAAAACAGCCCTCAAATTGAAGTGTTTGTCCGTCCTACTAAAACACATTATATTCCCACATTTTACCACAAAATCCCTCTCGTCAGAAGGTCCTTATCTGGTCTATGGATACTAGCATTTGTTATTATAAGTGTGCCTGTTTCCTGTCCTCCCCTCTGTAGGAGTACAAATCGCTCGCAAGATTGAGAAACTCGGCATGTGGTCATCGGATACGGCTGAAGTGTTCTTCGATGACGTTCACGTGCCCTGCAAGAACATCATTGGCCAGGAAGGCATGGGCTTCACCTATCAGATGCTTCAGTTCCAGGAAGAGAGGCTCTGGGCAGTGGCCAATAGTGAGTGAGCCCTTCTTACAGCTAATCTCTCACTACCCCAAGCAATATCCAGTAATCAGACTTCATTTTGTCCTACTTTTTCACTTCATCCTTCACTCACCCCTGTTTTTTTACTAAGTCTCATCCACCCCACACAGATCGAGCAGTAGATTGGACAGATTATAATACTGGATCATTTCCGTTTCCAAGAATTTGGGAGTTTTAGTCACTTAATATAAGCCATTCATCTTCTGTAGTAAAGCAGATGTTTGCTTTTCTTATTGGTTTGCAAACATGCATCACTATTTTCTTGGGAAGAACTTGTAAGAAACGACTTCCGAGAAGGGAAAGTTGATATGCTTCTATTAAATCTGAGGCGTCTTGCCTGTCAAACATGTGTGCATTATATCATAAATCAGAGACACAAATGAGAAGCAAGCACAGACATGCATGCAGTTCAAGTGGCAGCAGCAGCATTAGTACTAATTCTCTATCTCTCTATCTTTATACCTCCAGTCTTGACCATGATGGAGAACGTCATTCAGGAGACCATCCAGTACACGAGGCAGAGGAAGATCTTCAATCGGCCGGTCCTCCACCACCAGTCGGTTCACTTCAGGTTGGCCGAGCTGCAGACTGAGGTGGAGCTGCTGCGCGCTCTCCTGCACAGCGCTACAGGTGGGCTCACTTTACATACAGACATGTGAACCATAATGATAGCTTGGTAGTGTTGGCTGCAGCAGCTGAATGACCTTTTGTCCCTCTCTATTCTTAAGGCACATCAATATAGTATTATATACTGTACATCAGGGTTTCCGCTAGGATTTTTTCTCGCCGGTCAAATGTCCGGGCAGAATTTATTTTACCAGACAAATTTGAAATTTACCGGTCATATTTCACTAATAATAAGAGTTTCCGTTAGCAGGTAATTACCGGACTATGAGCAGATATGCTGATGTTTAAAACTCAGTTCACAGGGCTCATTTTTATATTGCTTCAGTTTATAATCGTAACAGATCGAAAAATTCAGATTCATTTTTCAATAAATTATTCCACAAACAACAAACAACATAATTATTACATTCAAACAAACTACTTGTAGTAGATAACGTACATTATTCAAAAGTTTACATCAACTTTGAATAATAACACGGGAGAAACGGATCCTCTCTTTTCCCCTCCCCCTCCCTCTCTCTCTGACAGCCCGTCAGTTTCTCATGCAGCTCCTGCAGCTCGCTAAACAGGCGGGGCTTCAGGTGATTATGCAGAGCTGCGTGTCTCGGTCTGACTCAGCAGCTGATCTGATCTCTCTCTATCGCGTCCGGTTATACTTCACTCCAGGCGCGCCGGATTCATTTTAGAAGTGGGGGGGCCAAAAAAAGTGCGTGTGTATGGCCCAATCCCAAACCACGCCCTACACCTACACACACACCCTCCGTGACGGAGTGAACTCCGTGGAGTGACACATGAGGCTCCCTCCTGTCTGTCAGATGGAGGGAGTAAATACAGCAGCAAGCTTTGGGACAAACTCCCCTCTCTCTGGCAGAAACAGGAAATGCGTAACTGTATGTAGGCCTAACAACGGTTTCAAATCAGCATTTCTTAGACAAAACATTTAAATGAATAACTCAAATAAAACTCCAAACATCTTTGGTTACTTTTTTGTAAAGCTCTTTTAGTTTTAAACCTGATGTTTATAAGCTTCTTAGTTTTTGCAATAGTCTGTAAATATACACAACTTTATAATAAAATGCACACATTTACCTTTTTCTAGACTAAACACAGGTATGATCCTAAGTTAAAAAAATATGAGGTTATCATGAGGTTGTTAACATCGCAATTTATCACTATCGTTTAGTGGTTTTGCAAAGAATGAACCACTCTCTGTTTTTGTACCATTCTGCGTTGAAGTACCTTCTCTTTGCTCAAATAATCTACTAGCGGTCTCCTTTTTTCCGATAGTTAGCTGTACAGCTTTACCCGCCTCAATGTCCCAACAACAAACCTCCATGCAGTCGGAACCAGCCTGTTTCGGTTCAACGACGGCGGCGGTGGTTTTGACAGTTTCTGCGGCCGCAGAGGTGCTGCTTTTGGGTTCATCTGGCTTCGCTGTTTCTATGATTGATGAAGGTCCAGGCTCCGGAGATGTGGATGTCAGGGATGTGACCTTCCAGTTGTTACATTTAAGTTTAGATTGACTGTATTTGTGACCTGCTCCATCGAAATCAGTCGCATTGACCCGAAGACACATTTTGAGTTGTATACACGGTTGGAAAGAGGATATTCCTAGCTTTCTAATGATATCAGGATTGTTTTTCTACTCCAAATATTAAGCGAAATATGTCACATTATATAATGACTGTCACCGAGTCATCATTTTGAGAAAAAGGCCTTAAAAGTTTCCTCTTCTCTGGAATCCATCGATCTGATTGATTATTAGTGGAGCAAATGATCAAATACTACGGAGGGAAGATATTTCCGTTTGGAGGGGAAGCTCGCGAGTGTGTGTGTATACGTGTGTGTGTTTGTGTAATTTTGCGTTTGTGTGTATTGTGTTTGTTTCCAGGGGAAAACACTCACAAGAAACACCGGCTGTTGTTATGCCTGCTATGACGTTAAATTACTCCGTTCTCCGCTTGTAATTATGCCGTTACAAGCTTCAAAGTTGTATTTATCATCTGAATTTGCCGAAACAAGTTTAATATTCTGAAAGCCAAGACTTTGTTTAATTAAAATCAGATGAAAACAAACTGTAACGGACCCTGCCGTGTTATCTATGATTACTATACTCTTACATTCATAATTTCAGCGGAGGGAGGGGGGCGGCGCTGCTGGAAGAGCAGATTGCGAGTGAGAGGTGCCTGTCTTCGTCTCTTTACAAGCTTCAAAAATGTATTTATCGTGTGATTTTGGAAATAAAAGTTTCATATTCTGAAAGCCAAGACTTTGTTTGTTTAAAATCAAACAAAACACCCGAACCCTGAAAAAATTGTTTTTTACGTAAATCCACGTTTATTCTGAAATGAGCCGTTGCGACTTCCGACTGATTTCGATAGAGCGGGTCACATTTACTTTTCTTCTGCGCTGGTTCTACTGACATGTTTGCAAGTGTATATATTATTTCTAGGTTAACGGCTGACACACACAGAACAACGTAACAAATAAAGTAAACAACGTAACAAATAAACAAATCTAAGCTTTTTTATTGGTTGTAATTTACATGGATACATTTGAATGGTGTGACAATGTCCTATTTGATTGGGTTAAAATTTACATATTCTTCCTGTTATGTCTGCCTGCTTTATTTTACCTAATGCAAAGTTACCTGCTGCTCCATCGAAATCAGTCGCATTGACCCGAAGACATATTTTGATTCCTAGCTTTCTAATGATATGAGGATTGTTTTTGTACTCCAAATATTAAGCAAAATATGTCACATTATATAATGACTGTTACAGAGTCATCATTTTGAGAAAAAGGCCTTTAAAGTTTTCTCTTCTCTGGAATCCATCATTTCTCATCATCAATCATCATGATTGATTATTAGCGGAGCAAATGATCAAAATACTACGGAGGAAAGATATTTTCGTTTGGATTACTGTACTCACGAGAAACACCGGCTGTTGTTATGCCTGCTGTGACGTTAAACTACTCCGTTCTCCGCTTGTAATTATGCCGTCACAAGCTTCAAAGTTGTAGGCCTATTTATCATCTGAATTTGCTGAAACAAGTTTAATATTCTGAAACCCAAGACTTTGCTTATTTGAAATCAGATAAAAACAAACTGTAACGGACCCTGCCGTGTTATCTATGATTACTATACACCTTACATTCATAATTTCATCGGGAGGGAGGGGGGGCGGCGCTGAGGAACAGCAGAGTGGCGAGAGCTGTCATCTTCCCTTTACAAGCTTCAAACATGCCTGTAGCTAGTGAGATTTAATATAACAATCAAAAATAACAAAATATACACAGCTAGATCAGATCACGTTTTAGATGCGACTTTAGAGTAGAGGGGAATTATTGAAACGGGATTTGTACAGTTTTCCGCGGCACAGTTTCATGGAAACACATCAGCTTTTGGACGACAGTCAATATGGATTCAGGAAAGATAGATCAACATCGATGGCACTAATGGAATTAAGTGAGGAAATAGCTAACTGCATGGACAATAAAAAACAAGCAGTGGGAATATTTATAGACTTACAAAAAGCATTTGACACCATAGATCACAATATTTTACTGATAAAACTGGAACGGTATGGCATCAGAGGGGTGGGATTAAACTGGGTGAGAGATTATTTAAGCAACAGACAACAATTTGTTGAATTTGTTGAAAACATAAAACAAATCCACAGATACAATTAATACTAGATAACATACACATAGAAAGAGTATATGAAATTAAGTTCCTTGGTGTGGTTTTAGACCACAAAATCAGCTGGAAACCTCATATCACTCATGTAAAAGCAAAACTGGCTAAAACTATCGCAATATTGGGAAAAGCCAGATACATTCTGGACTATAACTCATTGTATACTCTATATAACACACTAATATTGCCATATCTGATTTACTGTGTGGAGATTTGGGGAAACACGTACAAAACCAACCTCCAGCCGTTATGCACATTACAAAAAAGGGCTATAAGGGTTATCAATAATGTTGGATATCTTGAACACACTAATGTATTCTTTTTGAAGTCACACATATTGAAGTTCATTGATCTGGTTAAATTTAAAACGGCACAAATCATGTACAGAGCCAGACATAATCTACTTCCTAGGAAATTAAAAACATTGTTCATAGACAGAGAGGGTGGGTATAATTTGAGAGGAAATCTACATTTTAAACAACTCAAGGTCAGAACAACTGTGAGAAGTATGAGTTTAACAATCTGTGGGGTGATTTTATGGAATGGTTTGGAGCAGGAGTTCAAACAAAGCACAAGCATAATTCAGTTTAAAAGGATGTACAGAAACACTTTTTTGGAAAAATATGAGAATGAAGAAAGGTGATTGAAGACGATAAATTATTGTATATGTATGTATAAATGTAAATCTAAGTAGGAATAACTTGCATAATGATTTAAAGGACAATCATTGATCAAGTAAGGGGTGGGAATTAATAAGCATTTGCTTCCTCCTACTCCCTTTCGGACACATATGATTTATTATTATTATTAATATGAAGACTTTTTTTGTTTTTTTTGTTGAATATACAAATATTACCATGAATGTGGATAAATACTGTATTATAACAATACGGTATTCTGTTTTTCACATTTGTTATTTTGTATTTGTTATTTTTGAATCTGTTCGAAATAAAGACTGAAAAGAAAAAAAAAAAAGAAAAAAAAAATCTGCTGCTGTGAAAATGTGGGGCAGGGCTGAAAAGTGGCCAATGGCCAATGGCCCCCTGGCCCCCCGCTTCCGGCGCCCTTGCTTCACTCGCGTTTATGTCCATATCGATCAGATCCAGCTCTCCTGATCGGCCTTTATAGAGAGCACCGATCAAACTATTAAGAGTGAATATCGGCCGATAATGACCGGCGGCCGATCTATCGGAGCATCCCTAATTATTACCAGACATTTTGACCGGTAGGTTTTGAATTTACCGGTTTTTAATACATTTTACCAGCTAAAAACCGGTAATTACCGGCTAACGGAAACCCTGCTGTACATATATGTTGTTTTCAAATATGTGTGTTTCTGACTTGTGATGATGTTGTTGTTTTAAAGGTCCCCTATTATACTGTTTTTCATCAATATATAATAGGTCTCAGATATATACAAAACATGTCTCTGAAGTGTTTGGCTCGAAATACCAAACAGATCATTGCAGCATCCCATAATCCCCTCTGTTTCAGCCCTGTTTCAAAAGTGCTGATTCTCTGTCTGTTACTTTAGATGAAAATAAGGAGCCCCTCCCCACGCCCCTCGGTTACCTTGGTTGGTGATTGGCTAATGGTTACACAAGCCAAAAAATCGTTATGACATCATAAAGTGGCCAAAATCTGATCAGCTCATTTTCAGACAGGTTTTTATATAAATGGATCAGGACAAAAAGAGAGAGAATCTGATGTCTTCCTGAAACATTCAGAATCTCTTTACACAGAGGGGACACATGTTGATGTAGAAAAGACATGAAAAAGTGGATTTTGCATAATAGGTGTCCTTTAACATCTGTCTCTTCTTTACATGCATAATTACACCTTTGGCTATGTTTGCCTTTATTTCAGATCCAGATATTGCATATCCAACAGACTTGCTTAGATGTGCAGTATTTTAAGAAAATTCTTCCGAATAAATGCATGTAGCTGTCCTTGTGGCACTCAATACATTAGATAAGACTGAAAACTCGATATGAAAGGCCACGGTTCACTCTGCAATGCAAGAATAATGAGAATGCCAAACCAGCCTTGAGTTTGTAATTTGTAATATGTACAATGCAGCAGGTTGGGTTAGAAGATAAAGGGAACAGTGCTGGCTGGAGAGTGATGTGCTAGCTTAGTAGTGATAAGGTAACAGTAAACAACAATATGGCTGGCTGGCTGTAGACAGAACAGTGATTACTTGGCATCAAAATGGCTCGCTGCTATATTTCTGAAACAACAAGAATTTCCTGGATAAGTTGCCCGAACTGGTGAATTTTACTCAAGTTTAGGTCTCTGCTTTGTAAAGAAGATAGGTTTTTGTTATTTTCACAGGCATCAAGAGCTATTCTAATTTAATCTTCCCTGTGTAATAGCATTATTTATGTGTTGATGCATTAATCTCTTAGCATACATTTCAAACTCCTGTTATGGAGCAAATGGTGAGTGTTTTGCTTAAGGACACTTGTAGACAGAAGGAGCTCAACGTATCAAACGATGAATGGCTCTTATACACTGCAGTTGTTTTTGGCATAACTTCAAAACCCACCTGAAAAACTGGCTCATACCCACTTGTTTCAAAATACATCGCTAGTGCTTTAGAATACGAGGGTGCATCTGGCGGGCGTGTGTTCAAGGTCTTGTGATTTGTAACCACTTCATTGGCGGCCAGCTTTGAGTGAATTCTAGCTCATCCGATTTGCTTGGCCAGAAACAGATGAAAGCTTGCATCTGTTTGGCACAGGTAGATAAACACACACACACATTTCTTTACACATTTCAACAGGAAATAAACAGCTCACACATGTTTTCTCTGGAGGGTACGTAGAGAAATAATAGAGGCACTGATCAGCCACCGGTGAAACTGAACATCATTTGTTTACGGTCTTTGTTTCCTCTCGACATTCTTTATAATGCCTTTGTACCCACCTTCTCAATACATATTTTCTTTATTTTTTTGCAGCATTGTACATTAAAGGCAATGACGTCACCAAGCTGGCATCCATGGCCAAGTTAAAGGGGGGCCGCCTGGCCAGGGAGGTGGGCGACAGCTGCCTCCAGTTTTGGGGAGGAATGGGCTTCACCAGTGACGTGCTGGTCAGCAGATTTTACAGGTGAGTCTAGTAATGTTCACTGATCTGGTTTTTAAAATGAGTTTCCTGTGTTTTCCAGTGATTTATAGCATTTACCACAATTCAATTATGTTTACCCTTGTGTTGCATTTTTCATCTCATCCAAGAAAACAAACTGCAAAAAACCATGACATAGCAGCACCAGTCACTAGCACCCGTTGCTAGCCAACTATGGTTATATTTGGCTGCCAAGTATGCTTTTTTAGAGGGTATAATGTTTCCATGGTAAGAGCAACCTCACCAGTTGGCAGGAGCTAGATAAAGCTTGTGGTCCATGTCTTTTTTAAAGAAGAGTTAAACCAGATGGTGAGAATCAGATTGAGTGATGGCTTCTACATAAACATAGCATGTAATCGCGTAATAATAGTCTTTGAAAGCACACAATTGGACTCAGTCTCTGTTGGGCTTCGAGTGTCCTCATTTTTTATACAGTGTTCAATCAAGTAACACTGTGTTTCACTCAGATTCTTTTAAACCTTATGTTATGCTGTGCTGACATCTACTGATGGGGCAAATAATGCAGCTGAACGAGGGGTTCAGGATGTACGACCGTGAAAAACCTGATTGAAGCCATTGTTCATGTGAATGAAATGTTTAAGTAATTTAAGTTAGAAAGGAAACTCCTTTTTTTGTTTTTTTAGACATTTTTGATAAACATTATCACATGTTGGTTAACGAAACAAATGACTTCGTACATGGGGCTTACTTCAACATGTGTCCTCATTCACAATGTATTTTAAGGTAGTCTCCTCAATCTACCACATATTTCTCAGTCCTGTTCTTCGAACTTTAAAATAAATACGTCTGTAGGATGCCACGTTTGTCAACTTTGTGATCCATCCCTGAAAGTATGGCTCCCTCTCTCAGTATACTTTTCTTTTCCATAATTATACTGGTCTGAATGAAGTCCATGGCTCCACAGTGAGATGTCATTTGTGGATTACAAGAATGACAGAAGGACCAACAGAGCTCAAAGTTGGTCGTGGAAAATGTCTTTTATATGTTCATGGCGCTTTTAGACAATACTTTTGAGTCATGGGAAAATTCAAGAGGAGTCAGTGTTGTCTCTGACTGTTTGTATATCTCTGGTCCTTTCTACAGAGATTCCAGGTTGATGTCGATTGGTGGAGGCGCTGATGAGGTTATGCTGGGAATCATCTGCAAGTACATGGACACACTTCCCAAGAAATGATGCAATCACCACCTACTGTACTGCTGATATTGTGCTAATCACTTACAATGAACTGCTTAACACAAACACCCAAGTGCAGTATGTTAAGATGCTTGACTTATGTAATGTTAGTTTTGCATTTTGCCTTTTATTGTTTTGACTGAACTGTATGTAGTTCAAAAGACATTTAAACACAGAATAATGAAGCTCCTGTTTTGTTTTCATGAACATATCAATGTTAACTTCCTAATTGTATTGCTATGTGATGAGTCAGTTAAAAGACTAAATCTATTTTTATAGAATAGGCGAAGAAAAATAATGTGCTACAACTTGTACAATAAATATCCCAAGAAATAATATGCCTTTTGTTTGTGTGTCAACGACAAATTTATAAAAATAATAAAATTACCAGTTCAATTTTGTATGTTTTCGGCAGATTTTCTCAGTATGTAAATCGCACACCGACACTGTTCAATTCATCTCATAACATGTTTATTTACATTAAAAATATTTTACAATAAACATAAAACAAAGAACAATACTATCCATTTATGTATGGATGCCAAATGTTGTACTTTATCCATTCATTCTTAAAAGAAAAAAGACTAGATTATTGGCTTTGAGTGGCATTCTATAACTTAATGACAGATTTACTATTTGATCATGTTTACCATACAATGTGTTAATGACTGCATTAAGGTTATTGACACAGGAGTATCAGTTGTAAATTGGCTGATAAAGTACACCAATTGCGCATACTTCAGATACCACATACCTAGTTCACGTGGTCCATTATTTAGACAGTGGTTTATTTGTAAGGATTCAATCATACAGCATCAGAAGGACTTTATCGAAGACTACATTTGGGATTTTGAAATACTCAGATACATGGGCACATGTGTAGCTGAGGAAAAAAATCCCTGCGTGTTCTCATCAGCATTATGTTGGTTTGATCCATCAGCATGGCACAGGCTGGGGATGAGGAGTTAAGAAGTTCAACTGGGTCCTCCTATCACCTCAGCTTGATGAACCAGTACAGGACGAAGAAGACGAAGAAGCAGAAGAGCAGCATGTAGCACAGCAGCTTGGTCTGGCTGCCTCTGGACAGCTGCTTGACTCGGCCGATGGTGGCACCCAGCAGGCCGCCCGTCGAGTCAAAGTCTGAGTCCTAGTGGGAAAGAGGGTTATAGAGAGTTTAAAGTCCAGGCCAGCAGCAAACAAACATAGACCCGAGATTACTCCAGTGACTCTTGGAGCAGTATGGCACTATTCAATGACTGAACTCAACTCGGTTTGAGAGGGGAAAAGCGTTCTTTTTAAATCCACTTCATTTATTTGAGCTTTTTTTTTTTTTTTTTAAAGTGACAAACTTTTAAATATAATTGATTAAATAAAAAGTACCCAACAGTATACAATTGTTAAAATAACCTCTCTCTCCATCAGCAGAAACATTTAAATTATACTTCCAGATAATCTATGAATAAAACAATCAAATTATAGCATGCCAGTCATAATACATTGTGTTAGTTCTTATTTTGTGGTCAATACTTCTGTACATAAGAATTTAATCCTGGACTTTTAATTGTAAAACGTTACATTATAATATGTTAACTTTGACTTAATACTCTGAATAGCTCTTCCACCAGTTATATACTCTTGTGCAGTGTTTTAACATTGTTCAGGAAGAGAAGCAACATAAAGTAAAACTCACCATTTCATCCAACATTTTATTCTGGTATTTGACTTCTGTCCCAATGTCGATGGTCAGCTGTTAATATCAAGCAACAATACATATGAATCATATGCACAGTAGCTCATGTAGTTACAGTTTGGCAATGAAAGTATTAAGTCCCAGGCTCCTTCAACAGCTCAACATAAATATATTCAAGACAAAAACAATAATAATAATATTAATAATAATAGTGAAAAAATAAACAGGAGGAGTAAACTATAGACACGTTAAATAGAAACAAATGTCCTTACGGGGACAATACATTATATCGTATCGTAATAAGATGAGCTAAAAACAAAATGTACCTTTATCAGAGTGGACTACACAGATCATGTGCAGTATATTCTGCTAAACCAAATATAAAAGCATTAATCAACTACATTTAGTTACTTACACTTTTCAAAGCGTGGACTTTAGACCTCAATCCCTCTTGTAGATGTTCATTTTCCTCTTCATACACACTGTAGCCACTTGCTACATAATTCCCAGGGCCTCCTTCACCTGAATGAAACGATAGTTAATACATAATCGGTTGGCTATGTTGTCCTTACTGTAAATTAGCCCTGTAACGTTTCACAACAATATCAACAACATTAGCTAACGTGAGCTAGCTGTTTGCTAACTAGCCAGCAAGCTAGGTATTAGCTTTAAATTAAACATGTCCGTCTGTCTCTTACCCGCACCAGCGCGTCTCATCTTGAAAGGCTGACGGTACACACTGTCCGGTGGTTTATGTAACGTGTACGTGACAAATGTAGACCGAATAAGCTAGAAATGAGAGCTAACAGTAATCAAGTAAATATGGTGAGTTAGTGCATAGCAAACGCCACGACATCATACGGTGGCCGAGGAGGACGATCCCTGTGTGACGAAACCGCATAATTCATGTTTTGCAAAAAAGGATTGACAGCCTACATGCAAAGTAAGAACACTGCTTGGTATTTTCAAATGTAATTATTGTTTTAACACTGATTGAAATAATAAGTCATACAAATAAGATGAGTTAATTTAAAATAAACTATCTGTTTATGCAGTTTATAGTTGATAGTGTGTAGAGAATACAGGGCTATTTTCACGTTGAAATCATAGTTGAAATAACAACAGAAAATAGTATGTGAGGATACAAACTTATTAAAGCCAAATTACACTTAGCAGCAGACTCACTCTGTTGACCTGCCTCATGTGCATGCTGTAACATCAATAGATCCACATTTATATACATAATTATATTTAAGTTAATTATTGTGTCAACAGTAAACATAATCTTATATCCAAATAATGTGACTGCTGTCATGCTTTCTTTCAGTCTCATGGTGATGTTATTTGAGTATTATCAAACAATTCACAATCTCTGTGATATAATATACACTATCTGTTACGGGAGCATAATAATAATAGATATTTCGTAGGTGTTCGGATCAGGGGGTCACGGGTTCAAACCCCACTGCAGTCAGCATGTCGTTGTGTCCCTGGGCAAGACACTTCACCCCACATTGCTCCTGTGGGGATTGCCCACAGTATTGAGTATGTAAGTCACTTTGGATAAAAGCGTCTAACAAGTAACATGTAATGTAATGTAAAATAGAGATAATAATGTACAAGTTACTTCTCCTTCACACCAAAAACGCCATGGTCCAATGCTTGATTTCTATATAAAAGAAAACAAATATCAAGGCAAAGTGCTGAAAAGAAAACAACATATTTTCTCATTTTTAAAACACAGGTCCCAAAGAGAAAAACATAAATGGGTTGATCTCCCTTTGCTAGGAGCACCATAGACTGTATATATGGGGAGCAACATATTATTATATGGAGAAAATTGCTAAGATGTTTCTTTTAGACAAAGACAGATTGTTTGCTTTGAACATTTTGAAATGTTACCACCATAAAATGGAGACACATATCCTTTGTGGATTTAATAATGGGGCTTACTGACACATCCGTCTGAGCTGTGTAGGATAGAAAAGAGTTTCTCAATATTTCCAAAATCCTAGAGGTGCTATTTAGCAGGGATTAGCTGTCTTATCCCCTCATTCATCATCCCTCACCTTGCCTTGTGCCAATATTGCAGAAGACAGCTAATATGATATTGGAGATCACTATGACTGTCATAATGTTAATTTATTCCAGTTCAATATCTTATAAATAAATACAACTTTAAGCTTCTATCTACCATAGTGCATTTCAATGCCCTATCACTCATCTTTTTATGTATCACCCAAAGGCTTTGCTGCATGCATGACCTTGACAAGCGTGTCCAAAAAATAGAGGATATTGATTGAACTGTGTGTGCATCTCATTCAATGTGGATCTGAGAGGATTGGATTTGTCAGATGGGTCTTTAGAGTGGGCAAAGGCATTTGGATGGTTGGAAACTGTTCTTAATCTTCATTGAAACTCTGTGGATCCATAGCACTCCTGTTGCAATGATCCACACACACACACACACACACACACACACACACACACACACACACACACACACACACACACACACACACACACACACACACACACACACACACTTTGGCCTGAATGTACACAGATGCACACATGACTTAGCAATCCTGTGGTAAGCTGTGTGTAACAGCCTTTATACGAAATGTATACTATGTACATATGCTACCTTAAGTGTCTGCAGCAGATTTGAATCGTATGGATTCAATAAAATAGTTTTCTGCAATCAATCAATCAATCAATGTTTATTTATATAGCCCAATATCACAAATGTTACATTTGTCTCAGTGGTCTTCACAGTTTGTACAGAATATCAGTATGACAATATGACACCCTCTGTCCTTAGACCCTCACATCGTACAAGGAAAATCTTCCGGAGAAAACCCACAGTTTAAAGGGGAAAATGGGAGAAACCTCAGGGAGAGCAACAGAGGAGGGATCCCTCTCCCAGGACGGACAGACGTGCAATAGATGCCGTGTGTAAATTGAAAGGATAATACATTTGCAACATAGGTAGTCCAAATGTTTGGAAATGCATGTGTGTATAATAAGAAGATGAATCCACGAGGATATACATCCAGGACCCATGATCCAGGACCACAGCCACGACTCAAGATACAGGGCTCACGATGCAGGACACAGGACCGCAGGATCATCCATGACTCCGGATCCCGGCGTATATAGACACCAAAAAGAAAGACATTTGGGGAAGCTGGGTTAATCGGAACATGAGAGTACACAGGTATAGACAGAGAGAAGGAAGAAGTAAGATGTCCCCCGACAAACTAAGCCTATATCAGCAAAACTAGGGGCTGAATCTAATCAGCCCTAACTATAAGCTTTATCAAAAAGGAAGGTCTTAAGCGCACTCTTAAAAACGGATAGGGTGTCTGCCGCCCGAACACAAACTGGAAGCTGATTCCACAAATGTGGAGCTTGATAAGAAAAGGCTCTGGCTCCCATTGTACTTTTAGAGACTCTCGGAACAACCAACAACCCTGCATTCTTGGAATGCAATGCCCTAATAGGACAGTAGGGTATAATGAGTTCTTTAAGGTAAGATGGCGCCTGCCCATTAAGGGCTTTGTAGACGAGAAGAAGAATTTTAAATTCTATCCTGTGTTCTATAGGGAGCCAGTGTAAGGCAGCCAGAACAGGAGTAATGTGGTCCCTTTTCCTAACTCTGGTTAGTACACGAGCTGCAGCATTTTGAATCAGCTGAAGCGACTTGAC